GCATAATGGGTGTTTTGCCTGAAGGATGGTCATTAATGCTTGAGGACAAAACACATTTTGTTTTTTTTTGTTTGTTTGTTTTTGAGACAAAGTTTCTCTGTGGCCTTGGAGGCTGTCCTGGAACTATCTCTTGTAGACCAGGCTGGTCTTCAGATCACAGAGATCTGCCTGCCTCTGTGCTGGAACTAAAGGCACGGCTCAAAACACATTTTGATGTGAGAATATTGTGATACTCTAGGAGTTTGCTATACAAAGAACACGATGGAGAGTTTACCCTAATGGTCATCAGAGAAGTGGGCATTGGGGGCCATGGAGGGTGCAGTAGCTTGAGCACCCTTCCTATCATAACACATGCCTCACCCATGCACACCCTGGTAGTCTAGAAGGTTGGAGACCCACATTTATGAGCAGTTAGGTACAAGGTAGTAGTATTATGTTGATATGGGTTCTGCCTTGCTGCTAGACACAAACTATTGGACCTATTTTCTTCCTCCATGTGTCCAGATAGGCCCCCACCTTTTTAAAAAAAATTTTAAGTGCACATAGATGTTTGTGTCTGTGAGTGAGCATGTGAGTACAGGTGTTTGTAGAAATCAGAATGGGGTGTCAGATCCGTTGGAGCTGGGATTATAGATGGTTGTGCACACCTGATGTGGATGCTGGTGCCGGGAACCTGACTCTGAGCACAGTAGTGCTTTGAGTTGCTGAGCCATCTCTTCAGCACATCCCATCTCCCTTATTTTTGGTGATGGGTATTTGGGGTTGAATGCAGGGCCTCGTGCATCCTCGGAAAATGCTGAATTACTGAACTACATTCCCAGGCCTTTTTCCTCCTCTTTCTATTTTGAGAAAGGGTCTTGATAAATAATATAGGCTGGCTTAGAAGTCTATATATAGTACAGATAGAACTTAAACTTCAGATTCTTGAATTTCAAGTCCCAGGTTGGTGGGGTTATAGGCCTGGCCCTGCAGGCTACGTTTCTTTCACTCTTCCTGTAGCTATAAAGTCACAGGTCAGAGGGTGAGGAGGTGACGGGCAGAGGGACTTTTCCCTAGGTGAACAGTGGTCCAGCTGTGAGTCTAGGCAACAGATATTAGTAGAGACTTGATCACAGGGAACCTGCATATACTCTCAGTCCTGGACGACTCCAGTTTCTTATTTTCCTTCTGTGACCCAGTTCTTCACCCAAGGGAGAAGCCTTGCTTATGTAGGTGCAGAGGCTAAAGACGTCTCTGGGAAGTAGGGTAGTCACAGCCTCACACTGGCCAAGCAAGCTCTGGGTTTTTCTGGGCCACTGGTCCCAAGCCTATACTGTGGTCAGGATTTCCCATTCCCTGGGGCTGTGGACCACAGTTGTGAAGTCAGGGTAGTGAGCTGGGATAAAGTGAGACATAGAAAGTTATCTCCTAATTCTCATTTTGTCATGGAGGAAAAACTGGTAGGAAGGGAGACCAAGGTGAGAGTCATGGGTCTTATCCCTTTAAACCCCCAGCTTTTAGAGCAGTCAGTGCCTTTGCTGGAGGCGTTAAGCATCCAGCATTATTTTATATACTCTCTCTCTCTCTCTCTCTCTCTCTCTCTCTCTCTCTCTCTCTCTCTCTCTCTCTCTCTCTCTCTCTCTCTCTCTCTCTCTCTCTCTCTCTCTCTCTCTCCAGGGTTTCTCTGTAGTTTTTGGAGGCTTTGAAGACCAGGCTGGCCTCGAACTCACGGAGGTCCGCCTGACTCTGCCTTCCGAGTGCTGGGATTAAAGGCGTGTGTGCCACCACTGCCCTGCACGTGCTTTCTTTATATGCACATAAAAACAAGACTGTTGGGCTAGGATGATGGTATATGCCTATAGTCCTGTCACTTGGGAGGCTGAAGCAGGATGATCTTGATTTGGAGATTAGCTGGGATATTCCTACATGAACCTGTCTCAAGCAAATGACAACAGACTGTGCTGCAGAAATGCCGTTTTGTGGTATTTTTGCAGTGATTACCATCATAGGCACCTCCATGCTTGTTTGTGTTCCAGTATCAGAAGTGCTGGGTCCCTAAGCTTTGTTCCTGTGTGCAGGACATCCTTGGAGTGGAACTTGTAAAAGGAAGGAAGTGTGTGGTGGACAGTGTAATATTTATGGCCAAATTGTCATTCAATGGGCTTTCCCAGCTGAAATTCCCACTTAGCCCAAGAGTTAGTTGTTTTCCCAGGAAGCATTCTTTGTAACCTTTCACATACTGAGTGGAGACACCATCTTATGTTTCATCTGTGTTTCTTTCTTTTCTGGGGTTCTGGGTGTCTCTATATTTGAAACCCATTCTGGTATTTATAATAGGGCATTGTTTACTGGGGTGTCTTTTTGGGTTATTTGTTTGCTTGTTTATTTTTGAGACAGAGTTTCATTTAGCAAGCTGGCTTCCATATCCATCCCTAGTCTTGGAGCTCCTAATCCTCCTGCCTCTGCCTTCCAAGTTCTGGCTTACAGACATGTGCTACCACACCTGGCTTTTTTATTTGTAATATTTCTTTGATCCCAGCATTCAGGAGGCAGAGGCAGGTGGATCTCTAATTCAAAGGCAGTCTGGTTTACAGAGTGAGTTCCAGGCCAGCCAAGGCTACACAAAGAAACTCTGGCTAGAAAAACCAAAAAAATTATTATTATGGATAGTTATGGGTAGAAATTTGTCAAATGTGTCCCAAATAAGTTTTTCTGACTAATTTTGTTAAAATTTTGAGATGGGCTTATTATGTTACCCAAGCTAGCCATGAACTCATTGGGCTCAAGCAGGCTTTGTGTTTCAGCCTCCCTAGTAATGGTGTCCTGCTTTGAAAGTCACACTTTTTTTTGTTTGTTTGCTTGTTTTTTGAGACAGGGTTTCTCTGTGGCTTTAGAGTGTCCTAGAACTAGCTCTTGTAGACCAGGCTGGTCTCAAACTCACAGAGATCTGCCTGCCTCTGCCTCCTGAGTGCTGGGATTAAAGGTGTGCGCCACCATACCTGGCCGAAAGTTACACATTTTTAAAACTGTTTTTATTTCATGTGCATTGGTGTTTTTGCCTGCATGTATGTCTGTGTAAGGCTGTCAGATCCCCTGCAACTAGAGTTACAGACAATTGTGAATTGCCATATAGGAGCTAGGAATTGATCCTGGGATAAGAAGTCAGAGCTAGCTGGGTGGTGGTAGCACACACTTTTAATCCCAATACTCGGGAGGCAGAGGCAGGTGGATCTCTGAGTTTGAGGTCAGCCTGGTCTACAGAGGGAGTTCCAGGACAGCCAGGTTATACAGAGCAACCCTGTCTCGAAAAACAAACAAAAAAGAAGTCAGTGCTCTTAACTGCTGAGCCATCTCTCCAGCCCTGAAAGTTACACATTTTAAAATATTAAATATTAAACTCAGATGATATTTTCTTTTGTAATCTTTCTCCTTATTGGGAAAGGCTTCTCTACCCTGGGATTACATGCATAGTTGTTAATAGCACCTGCTATGGCTTCATTATTTCACACTTTAGCCCCTTTGCTGCTGAGGTTTCTTTTTTTCTTTTTCTTTTGGTTTTTCGAGACAGGGTTTCTCTGTATTGTTTTGGGGGCTGTCCTGGAACTCACTCTGTAGACCAGACTGGCCTTGAACTCACAGAGATCCGCCTGCCTCTGCCTCCCGAGTGCTGGAATTAAAGGTGTGTGCCACCAACTCCCAGCTGAGGTTTCTTTAGATTTGAGGCGATGTGGGAGTCAGTTTTCCTAGTTGTCTGTTTGTGGTTGAGAAGACATCTTTTGAACAGCTTGTGATTGTCCATTGGGACCTGGTGATCTGGGCAGGGAAATCTAGAAGTTCTAGAGATCAGGGCTGGCTTAAGGGCCCTGAGGATTTATGCCCTATTAGATTAGCTTTACTTGTCTAGTTCATGCCATATCTCTGTGCTAGTCGTCTGCCTTCATGTACTCCTTTCTTTCTGCAGCCCCCTGGACCTAGAGGTTGGTTCCTACTGTGACACACCCACCATGTGGCCACTTCTTCATGTCTTCTGGCTTGTTCTGGCCTGTGGCTCTGTTCACACCACCCTGTCAAAGTCAGATGCCAAAAAAGCCGCCTCGAAGACACTGCTGGAAAAGGTAGGGAACTTGAGGTGACGACAGCGGCTAAGACTAACCTGTTCTACCTGGCTGGGGCCTTTGTGAATCAGGACACAGGAGGATCTTGGCTCCTGACTGCTTATACAGCTTTCTGTGACAAACTGGTCGTGTACCAGTAGGCAGCCTGTGTGACTCTGGGGATGAACCTTGCTGAGGCTGTTAGTTTACAGCCTCTGGAAGTAGAGGCAATAGGCTCTTTGGTATCATTACATTCCCTACTCAGACTCTGTATCCTGTGACAATTTCCATCTCCTGTCTGCTTTCATTATCCCATGGTTGTTGAGTTCTCATCTTTACAGACCCAAACTGTGTTTCCATCATGGCTCCTTGTATTGTTTGGGACATTCCTAGGGATTGCAAACCCAAGTGTGGTCCCCCACCCATCTCACTGTTTAGCATCAATAGTCCTGCTGCTGACACAGAACCATACCTATGACCCTGACCTGAACTGATAGATGCTCTGTACTTTGGGGCAGAGAACCCATACAGTGGGCATCTCTATCTGTACTGGATGGTTTTATGTCAACAAGCTAAAGTCATCTGAGAGGAGGGAACCTTAATTAAGAGAATGCCTCCAAAAGATCTGGTTATAAGCAAACCTATAAGGCATTTTCTTAATTAGTAATAGATGGGGGAGGGCCCAAGCCATTGTGGGTGGTGTCATACCTGGGGTTGTGGTCCTGGGTTTTGGGATTAAAGCTATGTATCATCAATGCTTGGTGTGGTCCTGTTTTTTTTTTTTTTTTTTAAGAAAGCTGGCTGAGCCATGATGAGCAAGCCAGTAAGCAGCACTCCTCCATGACTTCTGCATGGACTCCTGTGTCGCGGATGTCACAGTGCAGGTGTGGGTTTATGCGGGTCTGTGGAAAGAAAACTCAGAGACACTTTAAGAATGAATTTAGCTGTTGTGGCTACAGGGGACCTCATTTTTGAGTAACTAAAGTACATTCCCTATGCCCAAGGCATTTTTATATTTCTCAATATTTATACTTTTGCAAATGATTACTTTATGCTCAGAACAACTTGAATGAGGCTTCCAAAAAGACAGTGCCATGTGCAAAGACTGGATTCATCAGGTACCACAATTTTCCAGGTTTCCTGAACCAAGTTTTGTATAGACTTCGTATCCTTGGGAAACTCCCAAACAAGGTTCACACAAGGCGACAAAAGGTATCCAGTAGGTCAAAGAATGGATTATGCTAGGTGCTAGCTCTCTGGAGCTAGGTTAAGTGTGTGGTTAGGGCTAGTTGCTCTTACTGCAGTACCAGGCCAGCTGGATACTGCTACACTCCTGCCTCTGGGTTCCTGCCCTGTTTGTGTTCCTGTTCTGACTTCCTTCAGAGATGAACAATGATATGGAAGTATAAACTAAATAAACCCTTTCCTCCCCAAGTATCTTGGTTCATGGTGTTTCATCACAGCAATAGAAGCCCTAAAACACTGTCTCACAGGGAGTCAAACACTATCAGGGAAGGCTGCAATGAACCCCCAAAGTGTGGATAGAACTGGCAAGGTGAGAATCTGATGGAAGACTTCTAGGAGCAGAGGTGGGGTAGAGGCAGGTGTAATAGCATCCAGATTGGGAGACTCAGATAGGGCTTGACCCATGGGATGGCATATGCTTGACACATCTTCAGTGTTTGGACATAGGGTGCCTAGATGCCCAGTGGTCTGAGGAGTCACTATAGCCTCCTACCAGATCTCTAGCTCAAATTAAGGGTTTAATAGCCCCCAGAAAATGGCTGCTGTGCTCACTGAGTGCCAGAGCCCTTCTGAAATAAGTCATCACTGTGGCCCTAATCCTTTACCCACAAAATCGTCAGATGAGCAATGCCATGTTAATCCAGAGACACGGCCTGTGTCTGAACAGAACAGACCTACTGCTGCCACTGCTGCTTCTGATGCCACATTCCATGCTGAGAACAGATGTCAGATAGCTCTCTTCTCTCCCTTTTGTTTCAGACTCAATTTTCAGATAAACCTGTCCAAGATCGGGGTCTGGTGGTGACGGACGTCAAAGCTGAGGATGTGGTTCTTGAACATCGTAGCTACTGTTCAGCAAGGGCTCGGGAGAGAAACTTTGCTGGAGACATCCTAGGCTATGTCACTCCAGTAAGTCAGGGTTCTGTGGTGTAGAACAGGGCTGTCCTCCTGGCTGGTGTTTTCTCCGCAGGTGCTGCTACTATGCGACTGTAGGAGAAATGCTAGAAGGAAGATGTCAAAGGGAAGGAGCTGGAGAGATGGCTGAGTGGTTAAGAGCACTGGTTGCTCTTCCAGAGGACCCAAGTTCAATCCCTAGCACCTACATGGCAATTCAAAACCTATCTCCAGTCCCAGGGGATCTGATACCATACTCTGGCCTCTATGGGCCCTGCACACATGTCACAGCACAGACAAAAATGCTCCTACACATAATTCTTTAGCTAGGCAGTGGTGGCACATGCCTTTAATCCCAGCACAAGGGAGGCAGGGGCAGGAGGATCTTTTACAGAGCTAGTTCCAGGACAGCCAGGGCTACATAAAAAACCCTGTCACAAACAAACAAAAAGATGTCAGAGGGAAGGGTACCAGGGATTTCTTGGGGCTTGCTTCTTGTGGCTTCAGGCGACCCCTATCAATTTCTCCTGAGTGTAGAGGGAGACTCTAGGACTGTCTAGCTCAGGGTGGGGTCTTGTAGAACCCTGGTGAAGGGACATTGGTGCAGAGCCCAGGTGGTGGGTTACATACAATCCCAGTAGTTTTGCAGAATGGGAGAGGAAAACCTAGGCAGGGATTGACGGCAGCTCAAGTCCAGCACTGTTGATACTGATGACTGTCCTGAGCATGTCCAAAGCATCATGTGACAGCAGCATTGGCAATTCAGTATACATTTACCTGTTCTTTGTTTCCGCTCTCTCTCTTCTGCCAGTGGAACAGCCACGGCTATGATGTTGCCAAGGTCTTTGGGAGCAAGTTCACACACATCTCACCAGTCTGGCTGCAGCTAAAGAGACGTGGTCGTGAGATGTTCGAAATCACAGGCCTCCATGATGTGGACCAAGGTTTTCCCACTTCCTTTTTATCTGTGCTAGAAGAGTATGATAGTGTGCAAATGTGCCTGTGTGAGTATAAAAGTGTAGTGGGTGTGGATGTATGAAAGTATGTGACTCTGGTTATGTGCTTTCTTTGTTTTGTTTTGAAACAGGGTTTTACTTTGTAGCTCTGGCTGCCCTGGCATTCCAGGCTGGCCTTGAAATCACAAAGGTCCACCTGCCTCTGCCTCCCAAATGCTAGGATTAAAGGCATGCACCACCACACCTAGCTAGGTTATGTATTATGACTAGTGAATATTAGTGTAAATGTATATAAATATATCGATTATGACTCTGCTGTTATAGGCCTGTAATCCCTGCTACTCAGGAGGTTGAAGCAGGAGAATTACAAGTTCAAGGCCTATCTGTGTGTGACTCTGGATGTGATTATAGGAGTATCACCCTAAGAGATGTCAAGTGTGACTAGGTATGTAACTGGGTGTGAGTGTGATAGACTTTGTGTTGTTTGCTGTCTCACATCACATGGCTGGGCCCAGAGTGAAGCCTGGTATGCACAGTGTGAGACATGGACTGCCAGGTAAAGATAGTCCCTTAGGTGGTCACCACTGTGAGGTCCTCTGTATGGTCAGCTATAGGAGGTGAGAGGCTGTCCAGGAGATGACAGATTGAAGAGCACTGGGAATTTGTGCCCTCTCCGTTTCTGACTCTAGTCCCAGAAGCTTCTCTTGAATGTCAGGGCTGCATGTGAGTGTAAGGAAGGTAGTCTCTGAGGTGACTTGTGCAGCTGGGTGGTGAGGTGGTTGGCTCCCCTTTTTCTGTCTCTTCCTTAGTACTCTGAATTTGGTGTTCAAGAGTTCCTTCAAAGAGGAAGATAGGCTAGAGAAGGACAGTTCACTGGTGACATACTGTTGGAGGGGGCCTGATCTACACACCTGAACCACATTTGACCTCTGACAGAATTGTCAGGATAGTGTTAACTGGAATTCTGGAACCAGGAGTGGGGGGCATGGGGACGGGGGGATGGATGGGGGGCGCAGGATGAGGGAGTGCAATAGAGGAGGTAGAGAATAGGCCCCTGGGTTAGGAGAGGAGTGAGTAATGGTCTGGATCTTTGAACTGGATGTATGCCGTATACTGACTGTCCCTTTTATCTCTAATAGGATGGATGCGAGCTGTCAAGAAGCATGCCAAAAGCCTGCGCATAGGTGAGTCCAGCAGGCCTGCGGATGGTCAGGAGAGCAGCCTCGGCCATACCGTATAGATGACCCTGAGGGTAGACCTAGGGTCCTTTTATGTTCCTTCTAGTCTAGGCTATGCTACTTGAGGGTAAATCTCTCCCCTGAATGCTCTGAGCAGTCAGCTGAGCTTGGTCACCAACACAAGCACCTTCATACTTGGCTGGTGATTTTCCTGCATAGTTCTCTCTCTTCCTTCTTTCTTCCTGTCTAGTAAGCCTTACTGAGTTTCCTGGAGCCAGACCCTAGGCTGGGCCTTCCTGAGGGTGACATTGTCCCTACCTTTCCTATGCCTCTGAAGCTCATAGTTAGTATGGGAAGGAAATTTTTCCCAAAAAACATCATGAACCAGAGGACAGCAGAGGAAGCCTATGGGGCTCAGGCTCAGGAGAAACTACTAGAGGCTCAGAGGCAATGGCAGGAGGGAACCTGTGGTTCAGGAGTGAAAGCCATCAGGTTAGAATGAGGTAGACAGGGTAGCAACAGCAAGGATTCAGATGAACTGGGGTCTGGCCCAGCCAGTTTCCTGAAAGGTGGAGCTCTAGGGGTATTTGATATGTTAGCATCTCCTTATTCCCTCCTTCCTCCTGTGTGAGTTAGGATAGCTGCACTGGATAGATCCATGATTGCTTTGCATGTGACTGGTCTGGGAGCCAAGGGGACACTTTTTTGCAGACAACAAGCAGCAGAGGATAATTCAGTGTTTCCTGGGCACAATCTTTCTGTGTGTTCTCTCTTGCTGCCAGTGCCTCGGCTTCTCTTTGAAGACTGGACTTATGATGATTTCCGGAATGTCTTAGACAGTGAGGATGAAATAGAAGAACTCAGCAAGACTATGATACAGGTGGCAAAGGTGAGACCCGTACATCCCCCAGGGCCTCCAAGCTCAGTAAGGCTTAAAGCACAGGCCACCAGGTCCAACTTCCCCGATAGGCTGTGCCTCCCACTCCCAGCTCTCCTGCTTGTCTTTCTTCCCTCTCTGGCCGAGGCTTCCAAAGGGCCTCACCTGACTCCTCTTTCCTTTTTTCTTTTTTTGTTTTTGTTTTTTTTTCCATAGGGTTTCTCTGGGTAATAGCCCTAGCTGTCCTGGAACTCCCTCTGTAGACCAGGCTGGCCTCGAACTCACAGAGATCCACCTGTGTCTGTTTCCTGAATGCTGGGGTTAAAGGCCTGTGCTACTGTGCCCAGTGTCTCTTTTTTTTTTAAACATAATTTTTTATTTTTGTGTGCATGTGTGTAGAGAGTAAATGGCACAACACATTTATAGAGGGCAGAGGACCACTTGCTGGAATTATTCTTTCCTACCATGTGAATTCCAGGGATCAAACTCAGGTTTTCAGGCCTGGTAGAAAGTGCCATTACCTGCTAAAGTAACTTAGTGGTCTTTCTTTATTTAAAATTTTTGGGACAGTATCTCACATAACCCAGACTTATCTTTGAATTCACTATGTACCTGAGGCTGGCCTTGCACTTCTGATCCACCAGCCTCTACCTCCAGGGCTGAGATTACAGATAGAATGACTTGGCTCTTCTTGTCTGACTTTTTTCATGGATATTTCTTGTGCAACCTGTGTCTTCCAGGGTGGATAGCATAAGCCCCACTCAGGCTGTACCACCTCTTGCTCATAGCTTTGGGAGTCCCAAAGGTGAGATAGTTTTTCTCTCTAGGGCCAGAAAGCTTCCTTTGGCTAAAACCCCATAACTCTCCCTCGTGTGGACCCACCCCTGCTGCCCGTCAGTATGCCTGGCTACTGTAAGGGTGGAGAAGTATGGGCCGCTGAACACCTCTGTCCTTGTGACTACTATGGGTATCTCCTCCCCATGCTGCCTGCTTCAGAGGAACTAACAAATGTGTAGTGCAGACTTAGGTCTTGCTTCATGAGTAAGTGATGGGCTATTTTGCCATGTCGGCAGAGCCAGTGGCATCTTTTCTGTCTTCTCCTAGATTCCCATCTCTTCTCACTGCCCGTTTCTTTCAGAACCAGCATTTTGACGGTTTTGTGGTGGAAGTCTGGAGCCAGTTGCTGAGCCAGAAGCATGTGTGAGTGGGAATGTGTGTAGCTGCTTAGGTCTCTTTCTGGCCCCTATGTTTGGAGGAGCCAGAGGAAGGACCAAGGGAGAGGGAATCTGCCTGGGAGGGCTTTCCTTCCTCAGTATCTGGTCTCTGGGGTGGGGGATGGGACCCTGCAAAAGGTGGAGGCCTACTCAGAGAAGCCAGGAATAGCCATGGGGCAGACAGCTTGTCCTGACCACATCACTGTGCTAATCTCAAGGCTCTTTCTGAATGGCTAAAGGAAATGGGAGATCCTCATCCAAGAGTGAGAAAAGGGTGGCCAGGTCTATGCTATAGATGTTCAGCTTGGACCAAGTAGAGATTTCCTCACTGAACACAAAGGAAACTCCCGGGGACATTGAAAAGAGGCTGAGCAAGTGTAGCCAAGACCTGGGGTATGATGATCACAGTGTCTACTGGGGAAAGAATGTCCAAGAGCATGGGAGTAGTCCCCTGGGGGAGGCTGCAGAAGACCCTCACGTTTCCTTGCTACCATAGTACCAGCAGCAGATAACACATCTTAAACTCACATGATCCTACTACCTTTCCAGTTAGCCAGGAAGGGAGGGAACCGTAGGAAAGTACCAGACCCTCCAACATAGCTGGAGGCTGACCACAGCACTGAGGAATGAATGACCCCGCCTTGATCCTTAGCTCAGGCTCTTTGGCAAACCTGAAACAGCTACCTTTTCTAGCTCTGTCAGATTGGGAGTTCTGCCCTATAGAGGATGACACGAGAACATTTTGCCCTGCAAAGGTCTGGTGCTGTCTGTGAGCACCCTCAAGTAGAGGTTTGAGCAGCCCATAGCAGGTGTTTGGGCAGTAGCGGAGTCAGCTCCACTTCCTCTTCCTGCATACGGGAGTTCCACTTATGCTTTCTAAGCCACAGCTCAGAAGTGGCTGAGCAGTTCTCTTCACCTTTACTGTATCACAAGGTTCTGGGCTCTCTCTCCCCTGTGTTGCTCTTAGAAGCTTCGCAGAAGGCTGTAGGTCTCAACTCTTTCCACTTGGAGGCAACATCCCCACACGACTCTCCTGTGGTCTTCAAGGGAGGTTTTGGTTTAGATGAAGCACTAGAGGGGTGGGAATGAAGGGGTCATTTGATGAAGGGATGTCCAGACCCTCCATTCTGAGAGCCCTAGGAAGGTATGCCTAGAGCCAGGTGTGCCTGAGCTTTGCCCTTGGTGAGAGACCCCACCCAGGGGACACCACAGCAGGAGAAGTGTGTTCCTGAGTTATTGGGGAACCTTCTGCTGGCACTGTCCCTGAAAGATCCTAACTCTGACCTGAGGGCTAGGTGCCCCAGACTATCAACCATATGACATCTCCAGGCCCAGCTTTGTGTCCTTGCTGGGCAGAGGGCCCCACAAGCTGGCTCTGCTGCCAGCCATCCCTTCTTTTAATTCTGAAGACTATAGATCTATAAATCAGAGATTCGCTATAATCATTTTGTGTTTCAGCACGTTAAGTAGGCAGCGAGACACAGCTACATTGTGTCTGGGCTCCCATTGGATCTTTAATATCAGATAGGGAGGTCTAGGGGTGGGAATTTTAGTGTCTGCAATAGGAGAGGTGGAGGTAGGAGCAACCTACATGGGCTTTTGTGCTCAGGAGACAGTGAAGAGCTGTTTGTAGAGTAGTGATTGGCCTGAGGCATAGGTAGTGGCCAGGCTCCTCAGCAGAAAGAG